TTCTTGGATATTAGTGAGGAATGAGACGGCTCAGCGGGAGTCACTCCGGCGCTCCGGGAAGGAATGGCTGCTGTTAATTTGATTTGTCGGTTTGTTCTTTGCAAAAATAAAACCTTCTCCGTACACATTCTGCTGATTCCCCGCCAGTGAATGACTGCAGTGTAACAAAACGTACAAGTGTCAGCGCTGGGAAAACACGCGGCTAGCAAATTAATAGTGGCCGCAATGCCTCAGAGTAGAGGAATATGCAGCCCCGCCCCCAAACTAATGACCAATTAAATTGAAAGATATTGAATTATAGAATAACTTTGCTCAGAGCTATTATCTAAAATGGACACATAATGACTACATGACACCAGGGATAAGCAAAATTGAGGGTTTACCTTTACCCGAAATTTTGGAAATGTCACCATTCTGCTAAATGCATCGGATTCAATGGGGAAGGCAATATTAAGGCATTTTTCAAGGCCGTAATGGTCTTTCAATGGCTCTTGAGGTTTAGGGAAGCACGTTTCAACTATCCTGGACCACTTGCCGTCCCTTTACAGCAGGGCTGGAGCGTGAGAGGAAAAAGCAGAACAAGGCGCATCAGATCATGAACTGACAAAGAGCATGCTGATAGGAGGCGATAGCGGAGTGACAGAGCGATGAGTTTATCACTGGGCTGATTCTTCCTTCACTGTCTAGTTGCAGGATGGAGGCGGGTCCAGGACAGTCTGGGCTCACAGGAAGTGGGTTGAATGATGTTGGCCATCACACTGAGGACACCTAGGAGCAGAAAAAGTCCTGCGGGGAAATTTCTGGATTAAAAGTGAATATTGCAGCAAAAGCAGATTTCTTTTTCAACTTCCTGTTTTATTCCTGTTCCTCTTGTCTGCGGAGTTCTTGCTTGAGCGCCTATTCCAGGCTGGTGACTCAGAAAGCATTGAAGCCATAGGTTCAGGATGACAGGAAGGCAATCAGCGAGGAGAGAGATCTTCGCTCCAGCAGTGGCAGCACCCTGACACATTACCTTTCATAAACATGATCTGGATTTCCTGCATTGTACGCACACACCTGCCATTGCCAGCTGACTCATTCCGCCTCATTATATGCCCCCCCCTTATGTACAGCTGTCATCTGTCAGCCTCCCATCTCCATCCCCCTCCTCTCTACAACCGCCAGCTACATGTTATCACCACCTCCCCGGGAGGTGCGCCAACCAATGTTGATCAAATATAGCAGAAACTTGATGTGGCTGCTTCACCCCATTCCACGACGCGTGATTCAGATCCTAAGAAAAGCCAAAAATACTATTTTGGTGTGTGGATCTGAATGACGAGGTGGGGTAGGGGGGAGGAGGGGGTGACAAGCTGAACGCCATCTGGAATATTTCATTTACACAATAACATCCCACTGACAGACTATGGAGAGGGAGGAAGAAATCAGATCCATTATTTAGATACATTTAGATGCAAATGTAATTATTATTATCATCACTGCGTGTTATAATGAAATGATTGTATCTCTTTATTTGGGGATTATAGGGTGGAAAGGAATCCTTATTTCCTATTACCAGTATAAGAATTGATCCTGTTATATTATATATCATTATTGATCCTGTTATGAATCATTATTATACTATTATATATCATTATTGACATTGTTATATTATTTATTTTTATTCAATTTCCTGTCCGATCCTCCAGCGTTGACTGTTGGAACGGACGGGGAGGGGGGCAGGCACAGCTGACTCTGCTTCTAGATAGGCAGAGCCAGCTGTCAATCACGCAGCTGGGTGGATCTGGGTGGATCTTGACAGCTGGGTGGATCTCGACAGTAATGTCAGGATCTGTCTAGGCTGCTGCGGTCTCAGTATACCGTGAGCTGTAGCTCGCGATATACTGAGCTATGGGTCACGGGAGGGCGCTAGTTTATGTTCTCCCGCGACCCTCTGGAGAAGTATGTGGAAAAACACTTATCCCATAGTTCTCCTTTAAGAAAGCCAGGCGGCGTGTAATGACTCGCCACCCGGCTTCCCGATTACCAGGGAAGCCATCTCCATGCTTCTCATCACTACGTGACGAGAAAGCATGGAGCTGGCTTTCCGGCCAATCAGGAAACCGGGTGGCAATGCTGCTATAATTTTACTACAAAGCAAAGAGTGTTGTCACCATTCATAAGGAAATTTAAAATCAACAGGATCAGATCCTAGGTAAATTATGAAGGGTGGGGGAGGGATTCGGGGTACACACACATACATTAGGGACTGAAAGGTACTGGATGGATCACATGCGCAAATGTAGGTACAGCAACACGTGATAGTGAATGAAGAAACACATTGCAATGGGGACATGACCCTAAGTCCCCCAGTCAGGTATGACTGATTGCAAACAATAAACAATATAACTGATGTGGGGCTGAGACTTCATCAATAAAGGGAGTGATTGGATGATATAGACATCAGAATCTACAGCTCTGAATGTCTGATTTAGGACTGGAAATATGGAAAATCAATCATATAAAAAGCCAGAAATCTAATAACAGCTGGAAATTCAAATGACCTGCCAACATCGCTGTTACAATTTACTACAAAATTCTCCAATTCACCATTTTAGCCAATCCTGAGCGGCAGTTGTCTGATTTTAAATTTCGGTGCGATGCTCTGCGGATCAGCAATTGGATATTTTGGGGGGGAAATTGTGTTTTATGCCAAATTTCTGCAGTTCTGCATTTCGTCCACTCCTTACTGGCAGTCGCCCGAATTTACAATACTATATTATGTATTGTTACAATGCGATACTCTGCAGATCATTTAAGGTATTGTAATACATTGTATGGTATTGTTACAATGCGATACTCTGCAGATCAACATCCAAGGTGTATCCAGCCGCACTCCTTACCGGAAACCCCCAGGGGTGCGTGCTGGAATTACTGCGGATGATACCGCTGGGATCAATGCATAGGAAGAATGTAATCAACACACATCCATTCTACATACTCTGCAGATCAATACGCGGATATTTGGGTGAAAATCTGCGATTCACAACGAAATTCTCTAATTTGCCATTTTGGTGGATCCTGAATGGCAGTCGTCTGGATATACAATAGGCAGCGATTATCTGCAAATCAGCGTGAGGATATTTGGGCGCAATTTTGCAATTAACGACAAAATTCTCCAAATCAGCATTTCGGCAAATCCTAAGCGGCAGTCGCCTAAATTTATAATAAGAGCAATTCTCTACAAATCCGGGTGCTCTGTTACGTGCACTGTTACCTGCTGACGGCCATCTTGGTGATGAACGCACGCCGGTGTTCTATCGAAACCTCCAACTCGTCGAAATCTCCAACTACCTCACTTCCGGTGCTCAGGAAGACTGGAGCTCTGTACAGTTGCGGTGCACATGCGCGCATAGCCTTTTCAAACGCCGTCTGGTCAAAAATCTCCAGCTTGCAAGTACCCGTCAGTGAGGTAGTTGGAGAGGGACGTTCACCCGATGGGATAAAGTATGCCGCAGTGTCCCCTCCTCTCTCATGCAACTGTCGAGCTCTCAGTCCATGACCACGCGCCCAACTTTTCAGAGGGGGTGACAGCAAAATGACTGCCAGTTATTTTGGTGTCACCCCTCCAATAGTAAATTCCAAAAGAATCCCACCGCACTCCTTACTGGTATATCCCTTATAGCGGGTGCTGCAGTGATAGCGGAAGGCGCCGCAACAAATCCAAGTAGTACAATGTATCACCAGCACACCAAGGTAAATTCTTCAAGACGTCATCCATTTATTAATGCAAAATTCGATATATCCCATCGCACTCCTGACTGCAAAATGCCCAAATGCAACAGGGCAGGTGCAGCAGTGACAGCAGATCACTATAGTCAATAAAGTGATTGACTGGATTTCACTTTGGAGTGCGAGTGACTATTTTCTGGTTCTACTCCTTTTATTGATGCAAATACATCTGGTCACATTGCAACGTTTCGGGGCCACTCAGGGTCCCTTAATCAAGCATGACAGGACCTTGATGTGCTGGTGACACATTGCACCCCTCCAATGGTGTCACCCGGGCCCCACACCCCCCCTAGTGACTACAATAGGGACCTTGTGAGCTCCTCGGGGGCAGGGACTGATGTGAATGTGCAGTATGTGAAGCGCTGCATAAAATGTCAGCTTTATATAAATACCTGTAGTAGATGGAAAAAAAAATCAGCATGAATATTTTATGGGTATAAGATTTCTGATTCATGATATAATTTGGCATCTCCGTCCGATCGACAGGGTCGGTTCCTCGCCAACGACTGCCTTCCCGGGTCCCTTAACCTCCTCTAATCTTACATTTCCAGCTGAATGCCAGCGAATGAGCCCCCTTACATTGCCCACAGACCCCTATCTCTGTCTCTCTCTCTCTCCACCTGCAGTACGCATCGCTGCAGTCACACAGCCCACGAATCACATTAAAACCGTTGGGGCTTTTCCAAAATAATTACAGACCTGCAGCAGCCCCCTTGCTGGGATTGGGGGATACCCTGAGGTTTTCCCCTCCTCCCACCTTGGTTTACACTTAGCTGGGCACTTACCATGTCAGGAAGAGGGTTGCCCAGGAACTCTGATCTCTGCCAAATACAAAATACCGCTCAGGATTACCCCTCAGACACCCAATTTGCGCAGCAGATTGCTGGTGGCAGTGCAATGAGCCTTTGCATGAATGTTGCCCCCCCCTCTGTGTGATGGAGAAGGGGGCATGCTGTTTGATTTGATCCCCCTCATTAAAGTTGTGTGTGCCTGTTAGAAGCCCAGCCAGGGAGGGATTCCTGCCCCTATGACGCTCCGCTCCCTCCCTGCTCTATATAAGAGTCGGGCAGTGCTGCAGTGTCAGTGCTCAGCGGACAGCTCCTGGTGCTGAAGTAAGTCCGACCAGCCTACAGCGCAGGGGGAAGACTGCTCCGCGCTCATCAAAGCCATCGGTGCAGGACCCAAAGCTACAAGTGACACTCCGAGCAGGACTTCGCTTGAAGAGCCAAGGAGAAGCCATGATCACGGGAACTTGCTGGAGGTGCCTCCTCCTCTGCTTCTGTTTCCTTAGAGGATCCGCACAGAATTTCCCCCAGACGAGGTTTATCTGCACCTCAGTGCCTCTAGACATGGATATGTGCACTTCCTCCATGCAGAACAGCGGTCCCACCGAGGACCTGAAGACCACCATCTTGCAGCTGCGGGAGACGGTCATTCAACAGAAAGAGACCATCATGAACCAAAAGGATACAATCAGGGACTTGACGGGCAAGCTGGCCAGGTGCGAGGGGCAGACGGTGCTGGAGGTGCCCTCCAACGAGCCCAAGACCGGAGCAGCCCCTGGCTCCAGGAAAAAAGAGACTGGGACCCCCAAGAACACCATGGGAGACCTGTCTAGGACCCCCACGGCTGAGACCCTCACTCAGCTGGGACAGACTCTGCAAAGTCTCAAGACGAGGCTGGAAAACTTAGAGGTAGGGATGGGGCATTTGCCTCCTTGCTGGGGCTTGTGTGGTCAGCAGACCAATTCAAAGTGAAATACATAAAAATGGGTGTTCTAGCGTTGTCACAAATTGGGAGGGTGTGATTGGAAAAGGGTGTTCTGTGTTTGTGGGGGCTTGTCTGTTGCCCCCTGTCTAGTGGGACATTCGGGGCATGTGTGGGACATAGTTGGGTGCAGGACATTGTGGAGGGTTGTGGGACATGAGGGGTTATAGGACAAGGTGTGGGGGCATGGATGGGTGCAAGGCATGGTGAAAATGTGTGGCTATGGAGGGTTGTGGTGGGGGAACATGGCTGAGTGCAAGGCATGGTGGGAATGTGTGGATATGGAGGGTTGTGGGACATGAGGGGTTGCAGGACAATGTGAGAGAACATGGCTGGGTGCAGGAAGTAGTGGGGATGTGTAGATTGGTTGGTTGTAGGACAAGGTGGGGTGACATGGCTGGGTGCAGGGCACGGTGGGAGGGAGGAGGGGGGGGGGCGAGACATGACATGGCAAGACGTGGGACATTGATGATGGTGCATGACATGATGGATGAGACCTGAGGCATGGCTGCGCTGGAAACATTGTAGGTGGCTGTGGGACATGAAGGGGGTGCAGGACATGCTGGAGGGGGACATGTGAGATTATATTCAGAAAAGCAAGACTCAGATGTGGAGTTTTGTATTATTCTGCTTTGATAACTGAGGGGTGGAAAATTATTGGTGCACCATGTATATTCTTTCTTAGAGCTCAAGTTGTTTAAAGAGGCAGAATCAGACAGTATCTCAATCAGTGATAATTGATAAGTCTGCAGAATAGTTAGAAAGGAGCAAAATGGTGAACATTATATTTCCAACACAACATTGACCTACTCCCGTTTTCTTTAGAAAAGGAACAGTTGAGCTATTTGTTTAATTGACTGGGTCAATAATGATAATCATAGCGCTGTCATCCAAATGCCAAGGGTTACCAAGATGGACAGGTCTTGTAGATGTGACATTCTTTGACCAGCCTTCGAATTGTGACCATACACAGTCTGATAAAAGAAAGCCGTTATAAAAATCTGAGGCTCGCTTGCATCTATCAGGATGTCTAGGGGTTAACTCCTGAGTTTCCCTGGAAAATCTCTGCATGGCCGAACATCACTAGTTCTCTTTTCTGTGAACAAAAGGCAAATAGGAGTGCGCCGTGCGTCCTCCACATAAGCTCATGATGGACACCAGTGATTTTTCATTTCTCACAAATTTGTCCCTTCATAGCTCATCTAAGGGTGTCCACGAGCAAGATACAACTGGTTCCCAATCTGGCCACTGATGGTCGGATCCGGAAATGGTTGTACAATCCGTGGCCAACCTTTGAAAAGGAATCAGTCACCCCTGTTGAATTTTCACAGTGGATCACCATTCTTTTCTCTGTGATAAAATGGCACCAGGGTTGTCTGACCCGTTCATACACATGTGCACTTGGTCAATAATAATCTTGCATTTTGATGCCTTGATTAATTCAATTTATGGTCATTTGGCATGTTTGACCAGCTTCTCAAGTCTGTTGGCGATCTGCTCAATGCATGGGTGCCCTTGAACTAGCAGCCTGCGGCTTTACTTCGCAGGAGATGTAGCCTCAACAATCATCCACAACACGGTTACCTAACTCAATAAGCTGATAATGGGTTTAATTGAAAAAGTAGAATGTTTAGTGATGTTTGTGACAATCCACTTAACTGACGGCGTAACATGTCCCCCTCCTTCCCCTGCCCCTTTGCAGCAATACAGCAGAGGGAACTCGTCCGTCCAAGCCAGCAGCCTGAAAGATTTGTTGCAGACCAAAATAGATGACTTGGAGAAGCAAGTCCTGTCCAGGGTCAACAACCTGGAAGAAGGGAAGGTCAACGTGAAGAATGAGACGGAGCTGAGGGGCAAAATAGAGAGTGCCCTCACGTCTCTGCAGCAGAGGATCACCGACCTGGAAAAAGGTGATTGCAGCAATCTGCCTGTATATGCGCACACAACATTCCCAAAGTGGGATTTATCATCCTTTATACATGAGAGGGGCGTGATCTTCGCCTGAGAATAATTTAAGAAACTGATACATTTTACAACTGTAGCACCTCAGTGATTAGTTACAATTTATATTCTTTGTTTGAAGAATTTCTTTTTGTTGGATTTTCAGTTCTTAAACAATTCAGATTTCAATCCGTATGATTTAAGGCTTCAGCTTTAGAACCTGATACAAGCATTCTTTTTTCACCTCCTTCCCTCTTTTTTTCTCTCTATTGTTCTCCCCTCAAATCCACATCAGACCTACTCCTTGCTCTCAACTTCTTTCTCTGGTTTTCATCTCCCCTCCTTTCCTCCACTTATCCTCCCCTTTATCTCCTTTTACCCTCCTCCCTCTCATCTCTGCCCTTGTCTTTACTACCTCCTTAACTATTCTCTTTTCTCCCCTCTCCTCTCTGCTCCTTACTTGTCTTACTTACTCTTTCCTCTCCGCTCCTCTTATTTCTTCTCTCCCGTCTTTGCTCACTGCACTCTTCAACTTCTCTCTTCTTTCCTCCTCTCCTCCCTTCTCTTTTGTTCTCTTCTCTCCTCTCCTTTCCTGTCCTCTCTCCTCTTATTTCCTCTCTTCTCTCCCCTCCATCTCCATTACCTGTGCTCCCCCCCCCCCCACATCTCTTTCTGCTCCTCAACTTCCCTCTCCTCTCCTCCTCTTGTCCTTCTTACCTTCCCATCTCCTCTCTTCCCCTCTCCTCTTGTTTCCTCCCATCCTCTCTCCTTTTTAGTTCTGTCCTCCCCTCTCTGTCATCTCCCCTTTCTCCCATCTCTTTCTTCTCAACTTCCCTCTCCTTTCCTTCTCCTCTCCCTCTTACCCTCACCTCTCTCTTTTCTCTACTCCATTCCTTCCCTTTCCTCTCTTCCCCTCGTTTCTCCTCTTGTTTCCCCTCATCTCCTGCCATCCCATCCCCACTCTTTCCTTTAATCTTCTCTTTCATTTCCTCTCCACTTCTTTTGTCTCTTCTCTTCCCTCTACTTTCCTTTTTATTTTGTCTTGTTCCTTTCAAACTCAGTTCTCCAATTTGCCCTCTCATTCTTTCTCTTCCATTTTCTCTCTCCCCTCTCTTCCCCCTTTCTTTGCATCCCCATCTTTTCTCTCTTCCCACTCTCTGTCTCTCATCTTTCCTTTTCTCTCTAGAGTTTCTTCTCTCTCTCACTGTCTCCTCTCTCCCCCCTACTCTCTCCACTTTCTCTTTTTCTTTCTCACTCTGTCTATTTTCTCTCTCACTCTCTCCTCCTTCTCTCCCCCCCCCTCTCTCTTCTCTCCCTTCTCTTCTCTGCACTCTTGCTCTCTCTCTCTCTCTCTCTCTCTCCTTTCTCTTCTCTCTCTCTCATCCCTCCCTTTTCTTTATCTCTTTGTCTAAGTGCTGCCAGCTTGCTTCTACTTATCAGTATTACAGGTCAGCTCTCTATGCTGCTGTTACATAACATAAAGAATCAGAGAGGAATTCATTTCTGAGCTTTTAGCCTTGGCCCACATTGTATGCCTTTGTGTATTGCTACCTGCACAGAGCTGGAGAGTGCATTCACATTGCAGACAGCTGTATGCTCTGGTCGAGGTGACCTAAGAAGGATTTAGCTCTCTCAGCATTTCCCTCCTCCCTCCAGACCTCAGTTTTTTTTTATGTAGCTTGCTCTATTGAAGCTGCCTGCCACGTTATGCCATCAGAATAATGATCAGTGTTTGCAATTTGTTGTTTTTATAGCGCTATAAGAAGTAACCAGAGCTTTTGCTACTAATGTGAACTGCAGCTTTGACTGGGACTGGTTCACTGGCGCCTCCTAGTGATACATTTGAGGAAGTTACAGGTTTTTGGAAACTTTTCTTAGGATGATGTCATAGCGATGGAGTGTGGTTGCGACTGGTAGCAATGGTGCAGGCCTGGACTGGCAGTTCTGGCATATGCCAGAAAAACTGATTTTCCTGAGAATAGTTTTTGTAAGGTGAGCAGTATTGTTGATCTGAGCAATGTGCAGGGGGAGTTTCAAACCGCTGATTATCCGAAATGCTGCGTACTCTGTGGAGCTGCGATCTGATCTTCAGCATGCTGCCGGCATAGGGAATTTTAACATAGGATGCAGCACAATAGAACATTAAAAAGAAACAAAAAAACACCGACACATGTTAATGTTTATGCAGCCTGACTGCATTGCAGGTTCAACTGGGCTCTAAATAGTAACAGAGAACCTGTCAAGATAAAAATACAAGAATTGGCAATGCTCATCTACTTCTGAAAATACAATTTGTCTGGCTGTCACTGATCTGGTACAAATATGCAGCCAGTTAGGTCAGATCTCTTGACCTGTGCACTTGGTGTGAGTCAACGGCCTAGTGAAGCCATTGAATGTAAGGGTATATCAAATACCATTTCCAGAAGGTGATCAGCAGAGCAAGCCCCTATAGTTGTGTTGTGATAGGTTCCCCTTTTAATCAGACAGCGGGACCTCTGATATATTAACAGTGCCGAGGATCCTGGAAGAAACTAAGTGCCCAGACAACATTCACTAAATGATCTTAAAGTGTATCTAAAAACAAAACAAAAAAATATAGCAATCAAAAATCATATGTATAATCATTCTAGTGTTTCACCCAATTATAAACAAAATTATTTTATTACCACATGTTAAAACGCATAAAAGGAGTGTATACTGTATATGCTATTGACACCAACTTTTGAGTTCCAATGACATCACTGCTTTGTGTGTGGCCATGTCATCATGGTTAATGAGGGTTTCAGTGTTGCATTAGCTTTCCCTGCTCCAAGCAAAGTTACTTGGCTGTGGGGTAGCAGGGGCAAAGCTGTAGATTGGCCCCAAGACAGAGCCCATGCCACATGGGAGCCATCCAACAGGCCTATGTATTTAAACATGCATGGGGTAAGGGGTCATATCCATTCCATGTCCAGAGATTTCAGGCCTTACGTCTGCATTGACAGGTAATACGAAGGCTATTTTTCTTACCATTTCTTTCCATGGACAATCCTTCCTTCCTAGATTATCGAAAGGCTTACTCTGAGTATTAACTCAGCCTTGGTGCCACATAATCATTATTGCTCCTCTGGGTGTAGGAGAATTTTCAGTAGTCTTGGTTAGATTTTTACATTCTAGGTTTGTTTTGAGCCTCCGCCTAATGCTGCTGTGATAATGAACCTTGCCTTTCTTCTTCATCTCTTTAGGTCAAAAGGAGAGCAGGCCTGCAGACAAATTTCAGCTCACTTTCCCCTTGAGGACAAACTACATGTATGCCAAAGTGAAAAAGAGCCTCCCGGAAATGTACGCTTTTACTGTGTGCATGTGGCTCAAGTCCAACGCCTCCCCAGGGGTGGGCACTCCGTTTTCATATGCAGTGCCAGGCCAACCCAACGAGCTGGTTTTGATTGAGTGGGGGAACAATCCAATGGAAATACTAATCAACGACAAGGTAATAAAATCATCAGTTTTTTGTATTCTAGATTTAGGCAGGTGCACAGAGTTCAGGCAGATATCAGGCAGTGGGGCTGAGAGAAGGGCTTAAAGTGAGTATGTGGCCAGGTGATGGTTGTTAAAGTATTTACATATTCTTAACTAAGCAGTAAATCAACTTTAAAACAAGCCCTCAGTGACATCTGAAGCTCCAGACACCGATATAACATGATGCTTAAAATTTACAGCAAATACACTAAAGCCCTTCAAATCATTCTCTCAGCTGCTCAGCCCACACTCCATCCCCCTCCCAGCAGTGACTCAGCAGCTTAGCTCTCTGAAAATGTTTGGGTTGAGCACTACTCTAGACCTTTCTTCGTGACTTTTTGGATTAAAAGCCACACATATGGAGCCTCTGAGCATGCTGGGCTATCTTATTGGAAAGCCCGGCATGGATTGCATATCCTGGATGTCTGTGCACGCATTTATTGAAATAAAGATGTTACTTAGATGATTTAAAAAGATACACAACATACGTTTGTGAACTTGCCAGAAAGTAGATCATGGCTTCATGGATGGATTAGAGCATGGCTAGATTGTGGGAGGTAGAGTGTAGCCGGATAGTGAGAGGTAGAGCATGTCTAGATGGTGGGAGGCAGAGCATGGTTAGATAGTGGGAGGTAGATCATGTCTAGATGGTGGGAGGCAGAGCATGGTTAGATAGTGGGAGGTAGATCATGGCTAGATGGATGGATTAGAGCATGGCTAGATTGTGGGAGGTAGAGTGTAGCCGGATAGTGAGAGGTAGAGCATGTCTAGATGGTGGGAGGCAGAGCATGGTTAGATAGTGGGAGGTAGATCATGGCTAGATGGTGTGGGGTAGAGCATGTCTAGATGTTGGGAGGTAGAGCATGGCTAAATGTTGGGAGCTAGAGCATGGCTAGATAGTGGGAGGCAGAGTATAGCTAGATGATGGCTGGTAGAGCATGGATAGATGCTGAGAGTTAGAACATGTCTAGATGGTGGGAGGTGGAACATGGCTTGAGGTTGGGAGGTAGAGCATGGCTAGATGGTGGGAGGAAGAGCTTAGCTAGATGGAGTGAGGTAGAACATGGCTAGATGGTGGAACGGAGAGCATAGCTAGATGGAGGGAGGTAGAGCATGACTAGATGGTGGGAGGTAGAACATGCTAGATAGTGGAAGGTAGGGCATGGCTAGATGTTGAAATGTAGAGCATGGCTAAATGGTGGGAAGTAGAGCATGGCTATTGGTTAGGAGGTAGAGTAGGGCTAGATGGTGGGAGGAAGAGTATGGCTATATGGAAGAAAGTAAAATGTGGCAAGGTGGAGGAAGATAGAATGTGACTAGACAACAGGAGGTAGGTTGTGGCTAGATAGTGGGACATGGAGAATGGTTAGATTGTGGGTGGTAGTGCATGGCTAGATGTCAGGAGGTAGTTTATGGCTAGATGACAGGAGAAGGAAATGTCATATATGGCATCTTGTGCTTACTCTCACAGTAATTAAATGACCAGGTTCTAAACTGATTGGTTCCAGACCTTTCCTGTAGAACAACAAAAGAAACAAGAATAACTAAAATATACAATAACGCTGTTGTGCGCAGTCCATGCCCCAGATAATATTCATCCCTTCTTGTTTTAACAGGTAGCGAAATTGCCCTTTGTAATCAATGACGGCAAGTGGCATCATATCTGCATTGCCTGGACAACACGGGATGGTGTGTGGGAGGCCTACCAGGATGGTGTACTTAGAGGAAACGGAGAGAACTTGGCTCCCTACCACCCCATCAAACATCAGGGAGTGCTGGTGTTGGGCCAGGAACAGGTAAACAAGTTATAAATCCGTATATTTATATCTACTGTACTGTATGTGTCTCTGATTGCAGACATGATTTCATGTCAATGGCTGCTTTCCCCAAGGTTTGTAAGTTTTATATATTCTTATTCATTAATTTTAGGTATATAAAAAACAATTAAATATTATAGACACGTCAAATGTTCTTATGTAGTTATATGTAATTGCAGAACATAATGGGTGTTTATTTTTGTATCTCAGGGATACATTGTATCAGTATGACAATTGATTTTTCTGTATACAGTATACAACTATAACACTTGCCCAATCAGGGGTGTCGATAGAATTGTAAAAGCCCCGGGGCACACTAAGGAGACAAACTATAAAGTACTATATACACTGAGTGGCCAGATTATTATGACCACCCCATCAGTACTTCGTTGGGCCGCCTCGTGACTCCACGAGATGTTGAAAGGTGATGCGAGGAATCTGACACGGCGCTGTTGCCCTTCTGTTGTCTTGTACCAGCCTTGCCCCTCCCCCGTTCTGCCCTAACATTGACTAGTCGCTGACGGCCACAATTCGCACGTTCAGACCCAGATTTTCGGCTGACAGTCCGGTCTTTAAACACTTTAACAACAGCTGCTCTTGAACATTTACCGAATTCTGCTTTTTTGCGGATACTCGCTCCATGGCTCCGAGCGCCCACAATCATCCCACGTTCAAAGGCTGTTACATCGCGTTGTTTCCCCGTATCTTCAGAAACAAATCACTTCTACTGTCGTGGTAAACAACCTGCTTCCCTATTTATAATGGTCTGGCCCTCTAGCAACTTCAGCGCCAAATTATAGATAACTTGCCTACAAACGTCAGGTGGTCATAACAATCTGGCCACTCAGTGTAGTGTACGGAGTTACAATAGAAATACTTTTTTTTTAACATTTTATTTGCATGTTGGTCAGGGGGTCGAGGCAAAGGCAAAATATGAGCCGATTAAACTTCAGCTTTATGTGTAAAAATATATATGACAATCCTGCCAGAAATCAAATGAGCTGATAAATTCCTGTTGTAAACCTAAAATGCTTCACTGAAATCTTAAACATTCAGCCTTGTACAGTGAAACTCTGAAAAGTCTGCACTCCTGTCCTGAATACATTTGTGATTGGTCAGTGACTCGCTGAATGAGAACAGCCTACTTTTAAAACCAAATCAGCAATGTACCTCTAAACCCAAATGTAATGCGCATGTAAGGTCATTTTAAATGAAGGGAGGGCAATGTGTTCTGTAGTCCCGGCACACTTTCTGTCCTAGGGTGACAATGCGGCTCCTCCATAGACACAGCACAGTGAGCGTGGTCACCCTAGGACAGGTAAGCGGTAATGTATTATATTTTGTTCTCTGTTTGGAATTCTGTATTGTTATTCTGTTTGGAAGTTACATTGTTTCCAACTTTGACAAACCGATCTTTTTTGCCTTTTGAAGGACACGTTGGGAGGCGGTTTCGACGCCACCCAGGCCTTTGTTGGCGAGCTAGCTCATTTCAACATGTGGGACAGGAAGCTGACGGTCGGGGAAGTCTACAACCTGGCGACCTGCAGCAACAAAGCGCTGACCGGTAACGTCATCAGCTGGGCAGAAACCAACATTGAGATCTTCGGCGGGGCCACCAAGTGGACATTCGATGCATGCCGCCAAATCAACTGAACCCTCCCACGGATACCCGTTCTCGGCTAGACAAAAATT